GGAAAGAGAAAAAGGAAATGCTCATTGGTAGCATTTGCCAATTTCTGTGGTGTAAATATTCCCACTACGCCTGATTTCAAGCTACAAACACTTTAATAATAAACTGTGAACATTTTTGAAAATTTAACAATCAATCAGCTCTCACAAGGTGGTACCAGCTGCCTCCAGCACACCTCCAACCTGTAACTCTAGTCGCTTCATTGGATTTAATTTTCTTCAGAGTATTTATCTGACATTCTATTACATAGTAATTTATTCTTGTATTGCCTTTTGGTCCTACTGGAATTTAAGCTCTATATTATGTCTGTCTTTTTCACTGCTATATCTCCAGCACCTAGAATAGGGTCTAGTACATAGTAGGGGCTCAAAATAATTGTTAAATGAGTAACTAGTGAAAAGTGCCACAAAGGAAATATTTAATTTTGACTCCTTTCTCCTCTTCTCTTACCCTATAACTATTTTATCTTTCTAATAGATGAGGAACTAAAATGATCATCTGAGAAGCTAAAATACATTTATAAAGTAAAGTGACAAACATTTTATGTGTATTCAAAGCATATATTCTAGGTCTCAAAACTTACTTGTTGGTTTGTTCCACAAGTATAGAGATCCCATTTGGAATTAAATCAACATTATGTTGGTCCCATCGTAGCTGTAATATATTCAGGTAGCAAACATGAATGAAAGTTTTAATAATCAACCATATTACCATTATTGCGAATTTATAGGATATCCAAGAAATGCATACACACTTTAACGGCTGATAGCTCAATTGATGTTTCTTTCTTTTAAGATTTACCCCATTGGAATGAATAATTATTCAAAGTGTGTATACATTTTTTTTGGACATTCTGTGTTCTTCCCTAACAAAATTTAAATAACTAGGAGGTAAATCATTATTTATGCAGTTCAGCCTTTTGAATACATAAAGCATTTTAAAACCTACCCTAGTATATGTTGTAGATTGCTTTTAAGCATACATTGGTCCATTTAGTTATTTACATAGATTGAATAATCACTTGTATTTGCACTTTATTTGTGAGTACACAGACATAAGGTAAAAAATGAGGAGCAGGTAGAGAGAAAGTCTTACAGCACAGAAGTAAAGTACCATTCAAAAAAGGCATCCCAGATTTGAGGTATAATAAAACTAGAGGCCCGGTGCATGAAAATTCATGCACTGGAGGGGGTTTCCTCAGCCCGGCCTGCCCCCTCTCACAGTCCGGGAGCCCAAAGGGGCGCAACGTGACTTGGCAATCAAGGGGAAGATGATGCCCACATCACACTTCTGCTGCTGCCAGTGCTGAAAGCGCAAGCCTCATCCGGCAGTGGTTACTTGAGCCTCGGGCGGCCCTGAGTGGCTGGGGGGCTGAGGGAACGGGGAGAGTCTGGAGGTAGGCGCCCCGGCAGGGCTGAGGGAACTGGGTGCCGCCATTTAGTGGCTGTGGGTGCCTCCATTATTGAGGGCGTGTTAGTCAATTAGCATATTCCCTCCTTATTGGCTGTGAGCATCGCCACATTTGAGGGCGGGCCAGTCAATTAGCATATTCATTCCTTATTGCCTGTGGGCATTGCCGTCTTAGCGATGGCATGAGGGTCAATTAGCATATTCCCTCCTTATTGGCTGTGAGCATCGCCACATTTGAGGGCGGGCCAGTCAATTAGCATATTCATTCCTTATTGCCTGTCACATAAGGGAGAAGCTTGCACTGAACTACCTGCTTACACTGTGTTTCTGCCATCTGAGCCAGCCCTTCTAAAGGAGTTCCTGGAATCCTATTTTATCCAAAAGGATTGAGGCTTTCTCCATCCAATAGGAGTTGCACAACTATATCCCCATCAACATCTTCACGGACCAATCAAGGCAATGCCTTTTGGACCAAGCAAACTGTGAGCATATGGAGTCCTCATTTGCATGAGGATGAATCAATCAGGGGCCAGGGTTGGGGACTTCTGTCTACATAAGCCAGCTCCTCTCTGACTGGGGGAGTGCACTTTCCATTTCCACTGAAGACAGGACTATGTTTCCCAGACCGAGCTGAACACCAAAGATGTCTCACTGGAGCAGGGCACAGCAGACCAGCAGCACAGACAAAAGCAGACTGAACAGAATGGAGCAGACCAGAGTGGAGCAAAGCAGAGTAGCCCAGCCGAAAGCAGACCCACAAGGAGCAGACCAGAGCAGAGCACAGGACTGAGGAGGAGAGGAGAGCAGAGCAGAGCTGTCTAGCAGAGAGGGGCCTGGCCCCAGGGCTGCCTCAAAGCCATGCTGTTTTCACAGCTCTGCTGTATCAATTGAGCTGATTTGCACTGAATAGTTTCCTTCATTGCAGACTAAATCTGGAATTCCTGTTGTCATTGAATTCTC